CTCTCCCTGTGGAGAATGCAGAGACAAGGTGTGATGGATAGACCACAGCCCTCTTTCTCTGTCTAGGAATAAGGTGGGGGGAGGATGTTTTTGAGATTTGGTTCTATTTCTCATTATTCTATTCTGGGTGGATTAATAATAAATGGAACTAATTTCTCTCCAGGTTGAGTCTGTTTTGCCCATGACACTAACTGATGAGTGATCTCTCCCCATTCTTATTTTGACCCATGAGCCTTTCATTGTATTTTCTGCCCCCTGTTCAGCTGGGAAGGAATAACAGAAGGGCTTTGGGGGACACTTGACATCCAGCCAGGGTCAACCCATCACAGTGGAGCAATACAAATGCAAAACTTCTCAGGCTATCAGGCTCTTTCTGGCTCTCCCCTTGAAAAATCCAGCTTTTCTTAGTTCATTAGGTTTGCTGTCAGTTGTGTTTAAATCCATTTCAAAGATTCGCATCTGGAAGACAGTTAAGATAGTTTTAAAATGTCGTGTTATACTCTTAGGTTTGGGCTCACAAGAAGCCATGGAGGAAAGCAGTGAAATTAGATGTGTGTTTTTTCATTAAACTCTATCAGAAGTGTGACAGACAGCATTTCTGCCCAGACTACGCATATATATATAAAAAAAGCGGCCAGTTTTAAAAACATAGCAAAACTAACACCTACACAGGCTTGTGCTGTTGCAGCTAGCACATATCTTAGAATACACTAACTCCATGTTTTACGAATACTTATTCCCAAATAATTTTTAATGACTGCTCCTAATCTCCAGCAAATAAGAAAGCTTACTGTGCTCTTTGTGATACGTGTCACTGCTCGGTTTCATGTAATAACCTACAATCTCTTAACACTTAGCAATATACCTTGTGTAAACTACACACCACTTTCCTTCTGAAGCATCACTCTTGGTTTTTCTGCCCACACTCCCATTGTGTGGGTGGCACATAAAACAAATACTTCTTCCTGCTGGTGCAGTTGCCACTTTTCATCTCTAGTACAATATCCATCTAATCAGACAGTGCCTGTAAATGCAACTTAAAAGAGCAGGTTGTAATTTCATTAAAGATGTATTTACTGAGCTAAAACAGCTGTTCTGGGCTGGAATATAAAAAAAGGCCTATGTGATTGCTACTCAGTCATTTTTAAGGCAACTGAAAAATGCATTTGCTGAGCTAACCTCACTCTCCCGAAGAGCTGGCACTGCTAACTTCTTCTGTATAAAAGGTTTAAACAGTTATTATAGTGTGTCATAAATTTTGACTTGTAATTGAAAATCTCTTCACTTCCTAAAAAAAAAAAGTACTTATTACTTGCTATATAATTACAGACCGTGCAGCTGCTCTCCTCAGCTTCGCTAGAAAATTTGAAGACATGAAACACTGCACAAACCTTATTCAAATGTTATTAAATTGCTAGTCATAGATCTGCCACTCTCATACTGTAGGCTCTCAAATAATGTCATTTTCTTCCTATTACCAGGACTAAAATGTAGATGAATGAAAAGTTGATCCAGGCCACATTGAGTTCCCTACCACACAAGAGACCATCATGTCCTTGGAAGGAAAGTATAATCTTTATTTCTGCTGAGCAGACATCAAAGGGAAAGATACCTGACCATGTGTCTGGAAAAAAGTTTCAATGCATAACGACAAATTTTATTTAATTTTCAGTAGGTCTTAATCATTATGCATGGCCACAATTGCCTGAGTCACTTTGACACAATCTTTGTGCCATTTCCTTGTGTCACATAGTGAGAAAAAACTCTATTCATGGAATAGTGAACCTCATGTTGCAGCCAAAGTCATAGGACTAGTGACCTCACAACATTCTGTTCACCTCCAATAGTTTGACATGAGTCATACTTGATTAACTATTCCTCACCCTTTGTGTACTGGGGAGGCTGTGGTGCGAGGCTGAATTTTTAGAGCAATTAAAATAAAATATACATCATGTGCCTCTACCTTTGATTCACAATGCATTTCAGTCTTGGGTCACTGATTTGAAGTGGACAGCTTCAGGAAAAAGGCTTTACATACCCTAGACGTCACACTGTGTTTTGATTCTCCCTGTTGGTGCAGTGTCAACATTTAGATCAACAAGATATTAATTTTCTGGGACCAATTTAGGCTCTGACTAGAATTTTAAACACTAAAGAATAGAAATAATTCTTTAGCACAGTGGTGCAAAAGAAGTATGAAAACAGTTATCTTACATTACTCTCACTACTGTTTTCACCTAGTATTTATAATTTTTTTAATTCCTGCTCAGTCATACACAAAGGAGCTCCATGATATAGATCACAGTCTGAAATCTCAAGTCAGGTCTCCAGGATGTTGTATAAGTAACTTCTTTTGACCACTAGTGAGACCAATGATTCCAAAGCATTTTAAGAACTGCTACTTAAAGAAGCACTTTAAGGTTTTAAATTCAAAATACAGACTATCATAGTTGGTTTAGATCAACAGTTCAAAACAACAGAAATTGCACCGTCAGATGCAATTCTCAGATTTGAAGCATTGTTATTTATATACTCCTGGGCAATTACATAGACAATTTGACAAATAGTCAAATTATTTTTTTTTATAGAGTCATGTTTTCAAACATAATAATTTCTTTAGAAGTTGGGTTTTTTTCTCATTTAGTCCAATTGCAACTGGAGATGCTTATAGTCCATCAGAGACCTTTATAATTAGCACTTTAACAGCCTGAAATTATTTTCCAATTATTACTCAACACACCAATTGGTGCAGCAATACTGTTCACATTTGTCACCAAAAATCACTGGGATTACTTTTCTCCTTGCTTTCACATGGGTCACTAAAAAAAACTAAAACAAACAAGACAAACAAGACTAAAACTAAAACAAAAACAGACAAGGATTTCTGAAAGACTATGGATCCATTATCACTGATTCTGGCATTCACCAGAAGCAAATTACAGAAACAAAATGCATAGAAAAAATTCAGTTTGTCCGACTTTGCTGTCACTGAACTAGACACTTTTGAAAGCTGAATCAACAATAGACACATTTAAAAATCTGCAGTAATTATTGAAACAGGTATCTACTGTCATTGTGTTGCAATCTAGGGTTGAAGCCAAAATGAAATTATTGGAAAAATGAAAACAGACAGATGTGCAAAGAACTTAGTTAGCTGTAGAAACAGGAAATTTATATTGAAAGTTATATGACAAATAGCTCAGAGATCTGCTCAGAAGTATTTATGCATGTAGGAAGAATAACAAAGGGAAATCCTTGAGGGCTTTATATTTCACTGTAGATGTTAAAACACTTAAAATACAGGAGCTCAGAAGCTGAAAGATAATTTGTCTTTTATCTAAAAAAAATCCCTCAATTACACCAAGGAGGAATCATTTTGACATTCTTTCCTAATTTATAAAATTTTGGTATCATAATTTTCTTCTCCATTCATTCAGACTATACCTGGGCAAATTTCTTTGCTGGTATTAAAAAAATCCAGAAAAAACCCAATAGCTTTTCTTTTAGAGGTTTCAGTTTATCTTCCTTGATTAAGCATCAAGCAGCATGGTTTGGAAGTGTCCACTTTTTGGACATGAAGATATGCTCACATATCGTGCTATATAAATAAAAAAAAATATAGAATGGAAAGCATACAATGCCAATTATCAGAGGCATTTGAAGTGCAGATGTTGGAGAAAAAGAAGGGATACAGTCACTAAAAATATCTAATAAAAATGCAATCTAACCAAAGACACTGCGGGTTCATCATCTATTACTTCTGCTTATGAGACCTAGAAGCAGACATGATTTAAAACAACAGAAGTAGCACAAAAGCAAGAATAAATCACAGAAACACAATGTATTGTACTGTGGACCACTCTATAATACACAGTTGAAGAGCAAGCAAAGAGAAAAATCCATCCTGACATCCAAACTCTTCTCATGAAAATAATATTTTGTGCATTACATTCATACACATCTGTCACTATAATAAGCAAAACAGCTATGCCACTTTTTAAATTTAATTGCAAGAAGATTTTTTTTTACAAGCACATGTATATATACACATATGTATCTAATATACATAAAAATGTTTTTTCTAGATTAAATACTTTTCCATTAGTATATTCAACTGATGGAAAATATCAGCTCTTGGGGTGAGGGGGGAAGGAGGCACTATTTGTGACTACAGCTAAAATTAAAATTGTGGAAAAAAACCATCAGGACTTCTAGTGCCAGAAGGACTTGTTGGGTTGTGGAGACCTGGGTTCTGATTTCTGCTCCCAGAGCTATTTCCATGTTGAGATTTTTTTAATGAAATAATGATTCAGCATCAAAACAAAAAAGAGTTCCAGAAAATGAAGACCAAACACTGCTCTGTTAGTTGAAAGGAGCCAAACTAATTTAAAACCCTTTTGCAGGAGAGACTCCCTTCTCCTGCTCACTAAAATTTTCTCCTTGTTTGTTCCAGACTAAATTAATCTTTCTTGAACACAGGGGGCCTGTTCCAGATTTAAAACTCTTCTTTACACTTCTGCTAGTCTGGCTTTTTGTTTCCTCAAGAGGAAGGTTTCTCTCCAAGACTTAATAGACACAAACTGAGGAGCCAGCAAAGCCCACTATGTTCTGCTTGTAATTCACCTTGCCAGTGCAACAGAGCAACTTTCCTGCCAAGTTTTCTCCCTCTTGGCATCAGCACATCATTCTGAGGGGTACTATCACTATTACAGTCCTAAAACATCTTTACTGTCTCCAGTAAATTCACTGAATACCCATGTGCTCACAACACCTACACATCACTTTTCTTTCCCCCACTGGAATCCACTACCTGGACAATTCACCCAGGCTCAGTTTCCCTGCACAGCCGCCTCTGGAACAAGATTTGTGTGCCAAAAGAGCAGCAATGTGGGAAATAAATCTTGGACACAATGTCAAAGAACAAACTCTTAGTAGTAGGGATGGATTCCAGCATTGTGCAACAACTGAAATCTGAAAGTGAACGTGAACGTGGCTCTCACCTTCCTCTCGGTAAGTCTGCATCATCTTTCTTCCACCGGACTGTGGGCGTGGGATCCCCCTGCACCTGGCACCGGAAATCCACGGCCTCCTCCTCCAGCACCACTTGGTTAATCGGTCGCCTGAGAAACGTGGGCCGCTCTTGAAAGAGACATTAAAATTCCACAGTGAGTCACAGGGCTGAAACGAACACTTTTTGACTTTTCAGCATCTTGTTGCTTACCCATCCATCAAACAGAAAGGAGGCTGAGCTCCACAAATTCAGACAAGTGGAACTGATGATGTGCATAAAGAGCCAGCAAGAGGGCTGCCAGGCTGGAGAGGCATGTCCCATCCCTCCAGCAAGAGCCACCAGAAGGCAGCCTGTGCCAGGACTGACCAGCCACCTGCCAGGCAGTGGAGAGGCTCTGAGGCCGTGCCCTTCCCTGCAAAAGCTGTGGCTCTGCAGCGCTGCACATCCAGAGCCTGAGCTGGGAGCTCCTGCTGCAGCAGTGTAGGAGCTGCCAATGCAGTCAGCCTGCCTTTGGCAATGATCAATATCTTGATGCTTCAGAGGAAAATTTAAACTCCTTGTTACGCACCTCAGGCAATTGTGAAGTGTCGTGCACAGGACAGAGCATCCCTGATCACCACTGCCAACTTCACCATGGAAAACCAAATTAAGGTCTGAATAATAACTTCTGTTTACCCTTGTTATGTTAGGCTGCACAGCTACAAATAGTATTAATCACCATAATGCTGTACAGGCCTGCTTAAAATCCAGATGCAGAGCCACAATCTGATCTCAGTTATACTGGTACAAAATCCAAGTACCGGTAATTTCATTTGAAAGGATGTCACTGGGGATAGTTTTCAAGTTGCCTTTGGACAGCACAAATTTTTTTCTGTCCTCTCAGCCATACCACACTTTTATTGTCATAAATTATTTATGCTAGTCAAACCATTATAAGACTGGGTTTATATGAAACAGTATTTCCACTCAAGACAGGGATTTATCATGAAGACATTTAAAACTGGTTACACACTATGTTTCACATTTCACTCTCAGCAAGTTAAGGGATATGATGTCACTTTAAAAAATTACTCAGAATTCACGCAGATGCAAGCAATACCAGATTCTGACTCGGGCAGTTTGTCTTGGTATCTACAGAGCTAATTTTATACGTTTGTTATGCATGATTATTATATGGAATTAATTTTAAAAAAAGTTAAAAGAACATTACTAAGGTTGAAAAATCAAGCAGTCCACACTTACTGACAGAATTAAGGCTGCCTGCATGTCTTTTAATCACTTCCTTTCTGTTTATGGTGCCTTATGGGACTGGTTGCAATTATATGATCATGTACTATTTTTACCCCAAATATCTCCAGATTGTTGGTATTCATTTAATGAGCAGGTGTTTAATAATTTGCTGTAGTTGTACAGTTTAGAAGGTGGCCCTTGTCTTATTACTCAAGCTGCACTTCAAAGCCAGAATTATTAATTTCCTCATGACCTCTATTACACCTATCTTAATGCTTTATAATCACCTCACATTTTCATAGCTCCTCTCTGAGGTGAGATAGAGATCTTAGAAAGGAAGGTAAAATGTATCTGCTAAATTTTGATGTTCAACCTGAGCCACAAAACTGATAACTTTTTTTTTTTGAGGGGTTGGGGGGGCTGGGTGGAAATGAAGTTTTAATTTTGTGTGTTCAAAGCTCAGCTTCCATTAATTCAACTGCAGACAAAAAAAAGTGTTTGCCACTTCTACAAATCAGAATATCAGTCAGAAAATGAAGAACACAAAACCACCTGTTAGTAATTATGCAAATGAGTGACAGCATCACACAGGAATTCCTTATTAGCAGGGAAACCTATTGGCAGGGGAAAACATAGTTTGTCAGCAGAAGAATAGACATGCTTAAGAATCTATAGCACTTTTCCAGATGACAGAGATAAAAGCATGTCTAACAGGCAAAGATTCTTCTCTCCAAGCCATGGCTTTTGTCCTATTCCTATTCCTGCCCAGGATATGCAGATTCCAGCAATGTTTGGGCAAGTAAATTCATTTCTAGCCTCTCTGCTTATATTGAAATCTTTATAATTTCCCATTTCAAGTCTATGTACAAGCCATATCCAGCTGCTGACTGTTTCCTTAGTCATTTTATCTTTTTTTTAGTCCAGAAATATCACTTTTCACACCTGGAACCCAGCAAGTTCACAAGTCCAATTCCTCTTCCAACTATCCATGCCTCTTCCCTTCTTCGTACCTCACAGCAAATGGACTCTTCTCCACTGTTTGGTCTACACTTGAACTGGAGCTCCTTTTCCCCATGTCACCCAAATACAGCCCATCCACAAACTTAACACAAGAAAAACCAGCTGAAGTACCCAAGGGGACCCTCCCAGGAGAGTGACAGCAGAAACAACACAGTGCAGACACAGGAAAAAGCATTCATAGGTTCTCTGGTGTATGAATGGATGACTCTATTACTTTCTTTTTTTTTCAGGCAGATGCATATTTGGCTAAATTTAGTGACAATCCTCTGGAAAAATAAACAAGAAAAAAGTACATCTCTGGCATAGTGCAGCTATTCCCAACATATTTTAGGTACCTGATATTCAGTATGAGGCACCTGCACTTCTAAGAACAAAAAACTTCCTCCATTCCTCTCATTCCTGCCCATTTCATTCCAATTATCCCCTTTACCTCCAAGCTACAAGAACTTCAACGTTCTTAGAGAAGAGTGAATTATTTTGTTAATTTAATTTAATTTTGTCAACTCGAATCAGTTTTCCAGTTAGGCATGAAAAACTTTGGATAAAGTAATTTTAATTTGATAAACTTATTAAAACTGGACAAAGGAAAAAAAAAACAATCCTAATCCTAAGCAATGTACTTGGTCCATCTGTAACTATGTGAATCTGGACCAGAATATTTTAATGACACTTTATGCAAGTTTTCAACAGCATATTTTTCACCATTTCTTTCCTAAGAAGAGCTTAGACCAACTTCTCAGCTCATACACAGCTCTCAGTTCATACACAATACTCTCTTCATTTCAGCATTTGTTTTTCAAGGCATGACCCTAAACTAAGAAATTCAGATCCAGATCAGCACTCTAATTGATGATTCAGAGGCCCTGGTTCATCCCCACTGAATTTAAACAACTCTGTGTGTGTCTGTACACTGACTTCATCTGCATACAAAAATCATTTTAGACCAGGCTTAAAAAAGCTGCGTGTAAACAGCTAAGAGATTAGAATGAGCATGATTTTGCTTATGATTTTGCTACTTGTGGCTGTAAATTCTCCTATCCAAGAGACGAGAAAATAAATTCCTGTCTCATTTTGAGGAGAACCCAGTTGAGGAGAAAGTAAATGGCCCTGAGGTCATTAGATAAATCACTGGATTCCACATCAAGGCAATTTAGGAGAATATACACGTTTGTTTCATATCAGCTTCTAAAACTGTATTTTCAAAAACATTTAAGAAGTTGCTAGAAAATTAATAGCTATGTAAGAACAGAGCCCAGTCAGCGAGGCCATGCAAATACCAACAACTGCTGCTTCCGTTTTTCCATCATCTCTGCATTTTGCACAGCGGGAATCAGGAAAGAACAAGTTATCTCTTATGTTGTTTCCTGTATTTGTATCACTCAGAAAACCCCTTCAATATGTCCAATAGCTAATTATACAGCTATAAAGTGATCAGAGTGAATGCCATTGCCAATGCAATTAACATTCTTTATGTGAGATTAACTGGATTTGAGTCACCTGCATAACTTGCTTATAATGTTAATCTCTCAGGAGACAAAGTGCTGCTTGCCCAAGCATGCTAAATAAAGAAGGTTTCTTTGCACAGCCAGGTCAAATTTAGTTTCAGAGCTAATCTTGGGGGAAAAAAAATATTTTTCATATTTTTTCTTTTGAAATGGTTTGCCCATAAATACAGCCTTGCAGTATAATTAAATATTGTTACTCTGTCAACAGCATCCAGAGCACAATATATTTGAGAAAAAGAAAGGGTGATAAATTAAAATCATAGGCATATATAAAAATTTTAATATACCTATTTTATAAGCTTTCACTGAGTAAATAAAGTACCTACTTCCCAGACTTTCTCTGATGAATATTAAAAAATCTTTGAAGAGAACTATAAAATAGGTCATGGTTATATGTCATGTCAACCAGTCATGCTATTACTAGGGTGACCTTTATAACTTCAGAATAAACTTTGCTTGCAGTTATAAAAGAGGATTGTTAATGCAATCTGGACACACACCTACAATCTATTGCAGTGCTTGAGGTATTTGCTGCAAGGAAACCTACAGATCTGAGCCAGAAACAGCAAAAAGCTTTCCTTGCTTTGGGTGCTGACACAAGTTAACCTCAGAACTCAATTTTTCCCATATTTAACAATTGGTCTGAGTATCACAGTCTATTAGAGAGACTCAGATGACCTTCAGATGTATTACTGCCCTTTCCCTGTTCCTCAAAAAGTTAGACAGCTCTATATGGGGCCTCAATCTAATTAAAATGATTCTAACTACCTTAATATATTTTCTCTGCTGAGGGAACTGCTAGAGTGAAGGATTTGATGGTCCTCATAATGTAGAGCCTCAATCTGATTTAGAATTGTTCTTGTTTTCTCTGTCTTTGCTGGATAGAAGACATAACTTTACTAAAATGTTTTTGTGTTCTAAAAAGAGTATTAAAACACAAATTAAAAGGCTTTGGGGAGGGATTTAATAGCAAATACTTACATTTAAATGCTTTTTGCACTTTAGCATTCTGATTCAAAGGGGAAAAAAAGAAAGCATTAGACGGTTGGAAGTAAGTTTCCCTTCAGAATGCCATCAATAGCATAGATATTTCATTAAATGCAACGTGATCTGGAGGAAGTAAAGCTCTCTGCCAAAAAAAGAGCACGTGGAAGAAGACAGGATATTACAATCTCACTAAATTTACCTATGTTGGCCAAATAAATAAAAATAGAATTGCAAAAGACAGTGGTTTTATATTTATAGACATTCTTCTACTGCATCTTTTTAGGCACTTTTTTTCATTTGAGAAATAAGCACTTGTATAGACATCATAAACTCCTACACCCTAAGCAGCACCCAAAGTGTGATGAGTTGCACAGTAAAGGAAGGCATGGAACACCAATAAGAGGCAAATGCAGTAAAATGAATGTTATCAGTTGCTAGTGGTTTTCTCCTTTTACCTACATCTACAATCATGTTAATTATTGGTTTTACTGACTGTTACATACAGGCTTTGGGGACCAAATGTGATTTTTTTCAGAGCTGTATTGTTGTTCTGTAACAACTTCTTGGTATCTGTGAATAACAAATACTGTAAAGCTAAACTGGCTTTTTGCAAAGTGCCACAAGTAAACTGCAAGTGGAAAATACAGGGATTTGAAGAAAACCAGGAGGAGATTTGATCTGAAGGAAAAAACACACAGTGCTGATTTCTCTGTCTTGACCTATGAATGTATACTTGGTTTTGGTAGATTTTTCCACGACTGGGAAAGCTTTTCAGGATACAATGGGTCAAGACTCTGTTAAGGCCGTCCACATAGGCAGAGCTCAAGAAAGTAAAATGGGGCACAATGTCTTCATTAAAGGGATTTTGGGGATTTTTTTTATCTTCTAACGCCATGTCATCATAGTATGCTTTTTCTGAAACTAGGGCTTCTCTTTCAGCCTGACAATATCTACAGAACATCAAACAAAAATACTTCCTCAAGCATCAGACAAAAATGCCTCTTCATCCCGCAGGACCTTATTAGCTGAAAAAAGGTTTCAGATACCAAAGATAAAATCAAGGATTAATCCAAACAATCTTTAATATGTCCAAATTGACATATCTTTTAATGATATTTTTGTACTCTTCTTACTTATGCTTTATATTCTTTTGAGGCTCTTCTAAATATATCTTTTTCCACTGCTTGATGCCAGCCTCTTGAAGCTGACATACTAAGGCTTTCATTGATTTCACTGAGCTTTAGAATCAATATACAAGATATACCTTTGTACATTCTCTTCAAACATGCCATTTTAAGTGCAAAGGGAAATAAAAGAACATGAAACAGTTAAAATAACTTGAAAACTTAGAACATTGAAGCAGCATGACAAAATGATAAAGGTTATCTTATGGAGTAATGTCTTCTCAATTTAATTTCTGGCTCCATATTATGTATTTACAAACAAAGCTTTCTTACAAATTGGAATTAAACAGTTTCTGTTTTGCATCTTGCTTTAATTCTGTTCAGCCAAGGGCTATGAGCCCAAACACAAGCAATGCAGCCTAATTTGTATCACTTACACTTCGGAAATTGGTCTTTCGAATAGTGTGCACACAATAATCAAGTCCCATGCTGCCTCTTTTTGTGAACATTACAACTGAAGTTATTAACTTCCTTTAAAGTGCAACTTAAGACTGTGACAGACCCTGTCTTTCTGCTTTACTCCAAGATTACACCTTGGAGCCTCATAAAGGCAAAAATTAGAAGTAATGCTTGAAAAAGAAGACTAACAAAATGTAGTGCATCTTCGTCACTATTCAAAACACAGTTTTGGATAGCACTGCTTATATGATTTTTATGGTATTTTACTGTGAAAGCTTGCCAGTTTTCTGCTAATAGAAGAATCGTGACTTGGGAACCAAACTAATGCAAACTGCATTGACACTACCAGTATATTGTTAAGAGTGCCTAAATGCTGAAAACAATGTTTCCTATGTGGATAAGCTTGGGGAAAAAAAAGTGAAAGTTTCTCTATGCATTATTCATAACTATTTCTCAGTAAAGGTTATTCAATGGATATTAGCCTAGTGGACATATTCTGCACATGGGAAAATTTTATTTTCTCCCCCTACTGCTTTGCAAAGTTCTCATGGCCCATTTTATTTTATTTTATTGTTTTTAAACTGAAGAAAAGTGTAATCTTTCAGGCTAGGCTTCCATGCTGCTCCCCTTGGGCCACCAGTTCCCACCACACTGACTAAGTTTTTCCAGAGGCAATGCCTCAAGCTAAATTTACTGTACAGGGAGCCAGAGATCTGTCACGAGTCATATGCAGAAGTTAACTTCAGGTATTACAGAAAAACTTGCAAAGCCAAAAGTAACAAGTAGATGGTTTCTGGAAAGATTCGAGAGCTAGTAAGAAACTTTTCCTACATAATGTGTTTGCTAAGGCTCCCTTCACACTGTTTGGAATATTGTTATTTAGGAAGGGAAAGAAGACATGACTGATCAGCTAATTAATATACATTCCTTTTCAGAACCAGCACTAGCTATAGGTTTGCCAGTTGCATATTAAAATTCTCTAAAATTTCCTACTCAAGATCTCTTTATTTTTATTGTGGAGTCCATTTTCAAATATGTTCAAAGCAGTTAAAGTTTGGCACATGAATTGCATGTAAGTATTCCTAGTATATTTTTCATCAACATTTGTAGTATTCTCATGTTCCTCAGACCTGTGAGTCACATTAGAGGAAGGCTGTGGACCCAACATACGATCCTGGTGTTTTTGCCTGTGTTCAGTGAAGTCAGTTTGAACACACAGAGCCAATCTGACGTTTCCCAGAGTTGCTGGATTTATTGGATTTGTGCTTAGAGTGATTGGACTGTCCAGTAGAAACATTGCTTCCTGGAAACACCATGGATAAGGCTCTCCAGTCACTGTACACATCCCTGCCCACACACGGGCTGCTGCCTGGAGCCCAGGAATGGAATATAACTGTTGGGAAGCATGGGCAAGTGTCCTCCTTATGGAGAGGACCAGGACTACCCTGGACACGATGTTACAGTGAGCTCAGTGCACCAACACAAAGCTTCAGGGCCAGGAGGCAGCCAGGAAAGGGGCACAGGACAGCAAAACCATCTTGTGAGACAGCAGGTCACAACCTGAGCACCTGCTTCCTGCATGCTATTCTTGCACAGCAAAAAGGAAGTTGGGCAGGTATCTGTGAATACCCAGATAGAAGGGGAAATGTAGATAGGAAGACACCGCAGTAGGGAATTTGAAATACAATTTTCTTTAGGTAGTCTAACACAATTAAGAAAGATTAAAATATCTAATTTCATTTATTGCTGATTTTGTTTGGTATTCACCAAATAGTTTTAGATTGTATTTTGCAAGTTGATTGCTATGATTATACCCTGTAAAAATCAGAATATTGTAATTGGCTATGTATTATTTTACATATCAAGACAAACCTAATATGTTTCATAGCTCTGCAGGATATGAAATTACATGTACATTTCATCTTTCATTCCTACAGTTCAATGCTTTTTAACAAATTATTTTCTTAAGGATTTCTTAAGGCTTTGTAGTTTAGGACTGCAATCTGCTTGCTATCCACAGGGAGTATTACCAGAGATTAGCAGTACTTAAACTGATGAAGGAGATATGTCATGTCTCTTTTGCATCTGTATAAAGCTACAACTCTAACAGATTGGCTGAAAAGGTAATAATAATTTGAGAGAGACCCTTTCTCTGGGTTTTTGGGTTTTTTTGCAAGGTGTAATAGTTCTGTCTTTAAAATGAATCCACAACAAACCAGTTGGAGTGGAAACCCTTTCAGCCTTGAAAAGCTGGAAAGCAGCATATGCTCAGAAATTCATGGATCTTGTCTAGTAAAAATCTTTCTCTGCCTTTTGTGAATCACAGAATATATATATTCTTTTTAAGTGGAAAAACAAATTTTGAATTGCAAACACAGAGATAGCAATATGCATGACTGGGTTTTCCAGTGCACCATATTAGGCAGAAGGTGAAAAAATCCGGAGCATCTGCTCCACAAAGAACCTGAGGATTTCTATTAAAAGTCTGGAGTTACAAAGAGTCTTGTTTGCAATTTCAGTACTGCATAAAACATATCAAAGAGGTGTAGCAGGAGGGAAGATTAACACTATTTCTCTCTCTTTTGTCAGCATAAATACATTTTCCTTAGCTGTGAGGGTTTTTTCCTTATTAATCTTCCTTTGTTTGCTCAGAATCTCTTGACTAATTCCTACAAACCCACGACCGTAGGATATACCACAGCATGATTTTGTGGCTTTGCTTCTCATCCAGTTGTTAGCAGGATGAATCCAGCTCTAGGTTGGGTTATTACTCTGTTCTTGGTCTGGACCCTAACCAAGGGACAAGTGCTCCTAACAACCAACTTCTTGCTTTGCCCATCAAGTCTAGAAGCTCTTTCACACAGGAAGCTTATTAATTTTTAATTCATTCAGCAGCACCAAAAGTCTAAATGCTGTCCTGGCTTACAGAAGGAAAAGGTGTTGCAGGTCCTCTTAAAAATGAATGCCAAAAGTTATCTCTATATATTCAAAAAAATTATTTTGGAATTATCTCCATTGATGTTTTACTGATCAAGTGAGTTTTTTTGTGCTTTCCTACAAAGGTTTGATTTTACAACCCCTTGGGAATATGGAATTATTTAAATAGGCAATCCTGGTCTAAATCTCTGGCAAGCAGGCATTGTCAACTGTATTAGAAGTAGCTTGATTACATTTGCCCATTCTGTGAGTGAGAGCATTGTCCTGCAATAACATCTCTGCTTATGCACATCACTGTGGACCTCCAATCAGACTGAAACTATATGCTTAGAAGGAAAATGTTGAGCCATGGCTCCACCATAATAAACTGCAGCTTTTAAAACCTGGTCTCCTTCTGAAGCTGTGAAATGCATCTTGAGCAGTATTGCTGTGTTTTGTTAACCCTGCTTTATCTCGTGTTTTGATGAGCCACCCAGAATAATTCAGCCTACAGCATTTGTAGGGAAAAAGCAATAACAGCAGGAGTGTTTACCAAAGACAGTCAGCTCTGCAGGGTCACTGTCACGCTCCCCCACCATGTTGGTCCCCACACAGATGTACATTCCTGCATCACTTTTTCTGGTGTTGGAGATCATCAGCTTCCCACCACGGATCTGTTACAAAAGAAGGAACATATTTTTAACTTCAGGTAAACGAAATACATCAGAAAAAGTGCTACCTTCTCAGGTGACAAGTTCCGTGACCAAGACATTCTTAACTTTTGTTCTTAAATATATGTATAGTTTTAAAATTATATACTTAAATATTTAAATATCTTTAAGCTATTCTAGAATACATTTTCATCCCACTGACTAATTTAAATTTAAAACTAATTTCAACTGCTTTTGATTTTGTTCCTTTGGCTTTCATTAGATTCTTTACATTTCAAAGATTGCATTTCTTGCTGCCTCTTGGCAGCACAGAGTACTTTTATTTCTTGCATGGTGATATGTAAAGCACTCTTGACATCTCTCTGAAAAAAAAAGGCAGTTTGACTTAGTTTTATTTAGTTAATTTTATTTTACTGGTGCCTGAACAGTCTCCTTGATCACTAATAAAGACGGATTTTCTCTTTTTGTTAAGGCAAGCAGACTGAATCTGGCCCAAACTGGGAATTCACCTGACACAACATTTTCTTGGCTAGAAAGGGTGCTTACAGAGTGAAAGAGCAGGCTATTTGAAAGAAATGAAGTAAAAATGTGTGGCTTGAGAAGTCACAGTGTCAAAGGTTAGACAATGGGGTGCTCCAGAATAAGCTGGGAATTTAACCAAAGAAACTTGAGAGCCAGGGAATGATAGCCAGTTCTCTGCAACTCTTTGCTCTTATACTCTTGAGTAGACCCTAACACAGACAGCCTCGTCCACAAATAGCAACAGCTCAGATTCTTTGGCTTGGAATAATTCCTTAGTTAATTGCTTCCAGAGCCACTAAGCTTCCTGATAGTACTTCCATGTTGAATAAGGTCAGTACTGAATCATTCCATATAACATAGAACTTTATTGGAGAAATATTAATGGTGAAAAGCTAAACATTTTAAAAAATTAGGAAAGAAACATGTTCTCAACCCCTTAATTTATCCCATTTGCTTGCACAGACCATGATTTATCTCTAATCACTTGGTAAGTTAAATATTTCCGCTGGATCCTTTTTCATTCAGTACAAGAAATGAATGGCCACAGAATTCAACCAGTGTTAACTCATTTGCTCAATATTTATTCCTTTCAGGAATCGTAATTCTTTAGAGCATGACTTCAGCCTTCATTTAGAGACATCCAAATTACCACAACTATAACATTACTGATATCATTTTAAGATGTTGAGTTTTTTCACAGGGATTATTTGTACACCTCACAGATTTGATTGAACACTTCTCTGATATTCTCAGTTCTCCAAACTTAGAAAAGGCAAAACCAAACTGGACAAAGACATCCACTAAGTCCTTCATCTAACTGAACACCTTCTATGACTGAATCTCCAGCTCTAATGGTGGACCTCCATTACACTGGATTTACAAACCAACCCTCCAAAAAGCTCAAGCTGGAGAGCCAGACTAGGAGCAATAAACAGCTCAGAGAGGCAAACTGCCAAGAATAACATCAAATCCATGAGAAAGGCTATAAGGCTGTGTAAGTTCTGCTGCACTCTGCTGTGGGCCATGTGTCTACAGACAAAAAGCCACCTGAGCTGTACTCACACTGATCCGCTCCTCTCTGTCGTCAATCCTGACTTTATCTTTCTTCCAGTAGATGGTGGGCTCGGGGTGCCCTCGAGGGGGCTGGCACTCCAGGATTGCAGGCTCTCCAGCTGCCACCACCACATCTGTAGGGTTTTGGCGGAAGTCATCCCGTAGCACTAAAGTGACAAATGAAGGAAAGAGGGGAAAAAAATTAATAGAAGTGATGATGTTGTAAGTGGGGGGAAAAAAACCCCGTAGAAACACATACTATTAAACAAACAAGTCTCAATCATTATTAGATGATCACTTTGCTTCTTATATTGACTGTAAAAGATCTCAAAAATGAAGCTGGACAGACATGCCCTTCTGTCCAGTGGAGGCAGACTGGGCATTGCTCTGTATTTAAGTAACAAAGATGTGTAGCACCCATTACTTCTCTTAACCTTGACAGGATCACTTTCCATCATTACAAAAGCAGCACTGCAGGTTGGATGTTGAGTTCTTTTCATGACAGAAAACAACCTGTTGAATATCTGCCTTGTGTGGGTCTCCAATTGCAGCACAAGCTCAGTAAAAAAGGGACAGAACTAATACTGAATTGCAGAGTTACGCTTTGGCTAAGGACATTGCCATTATCGCTGTTATTATTGTATTTCTGGCACATATATGCTAAAATGATCATCAGTTCTGAAGGGTGTCAGAGAAATAAAACTGATAGTAATGTACTTCCAACATATTTATTTCTTCCTTCTGCATTTTTAGTTCTAATATTTTTGCCACCTTGACCAGCCCTATCTCATCAAAAAGAAAGAGCATTTAAATCACCCAGCTGTTTGAGAACTAAATTAGGCAACACAGGGTGGCTTCTTATGTAAATCACGCTTCTGTAAAGGATTAGGTCCAACTAGCTGGCTTCAGTATGTTAGAATGATATCCACTTCATCCTTATTCTTGCATGTGTGTCCTAGTCTCTAGGTTAATTGACATTTTTATAAACATAAAACTGAAAATAGCTCTAGATGAGCTACTGAAATAGAATTTAGGGCATTGCCCCTCCTTGAATTTCAGCTACGCATGGCTTTCATTACAGCTTTAAAACAGTTCTCGCCCTTAATGGAACCAGGGCCCTCTGAGAAATTAGAAAACACTGTATCCTAGTGAAGGGGCAAGTCAGGAAGAGTTCAGCAGAAATTGCTCAGTCTCATTTCACAAGCAGAGATAATTTACTGCTTTCAATGTTAATAAAACATGCCCCATTTTAACATTTGGAACTGAATATTCTTCTCTTCTGTAATAAGCCAGAAGAAAAATATGATTAATACATACAAGAATTGGTCTCTGAATAGTCTGAGGTGAGTGGGCTGTATATATCTGGCACTCCAAATGACATGGAGGTAACTTTTATTGTTCTCCATTTTGGGATACACAGGTAGATCCCAGAGGAAGGAGGGAATTAATTGGAAGTTAATTCTTTTTCTAACACACACACACACACACACAAAAGAAGTGACTATTTAAGTCTCGCTCTTGAAGCATAAAATAAAAGTGACAGGAGGCAGCTGGCAACAAACGCAGCTCTGGCAAGAACCCGTAGTCTTTGTAGGTGACACACCCAACAGACAACAAAATACTCAATCCCTAAATATTTCTGAATAATACAATTCTTCTGATTCACAATAATCAAAGTGGCAGAAATGGAATTTATACAGCTTCAAGATCAAGTGGAAGAAATAACTTATGCAATGCAGAGCACAGAATTAGTATGATGAAGATAATGGGCTGCTGACTATTGGCAGTACAACACTTTGCAAAGCCAAGAAAGTCAATATCATAGGAATGTCAGGGAAAGAACCAGAAAAAAAGTCTTACAAAATCATGGGGTTTTTTTTCGGAAAGCAGCTTCATATGTTTCTGTGATCCCCATGAAGAAAAAGTACTTCTAAGCAATGCTATGCCCACATTTGTATAAATGGCAAATAGATAAAAAATAACTTCTGCTATTCTTATTATTACACACAAAATAAATATTATTTTTTATTGACTTGATTGTACTTGTAATTACAGAACTTCAGTGCAAATCCTTTAGTGGAAAATCCCCAGAAAATCAGCAGATCTCACCACATAATGGCTTTATATTCCTGACTCCTAACTTCCTGGCAGCAATATTAAGGAAAGCATTTTCCTTGAACACTTCACACTGCTGTATGAACCTGACAAACACAGTTTCTTGGAGTGATATACAGCAAATTACATTAACTTTCTCTGAATCATCCCAGCAACTGTGTAAGGTTCCAATCAGCCTCAGAATATGAGGCTAAGAGGTGATTTGATTTTATCACATTCCTTTACCTAAAGTCTCACTGCAAAACTGGCTTGAATAGAAGACAAAATTGATGCTACAGGCTTTGTTTAATCTTCCCCTGTACCTCAGCACATATGTGAATCTTGAATAGACATATCTTACCATTTCCATCTAAAGCATTCTGTGTTTTGGAGGGGAAAAAAAAGGTTGGAGAAAAAAGAAATAGGGAAAAAATAAAGTAGTGACAGAAAAGCAAAGATAAGAGGAAAAATGCACAAACTAGAAATTAAAGTGAGAAAATAACTTAGAGAGGAAGAAGGGGAACACTAACTTTAGGGAGACAAAAAAGAAAAAGCCAGGTAAAAGAAGGGAAAAAAAAACCAAGATAAAGAGCAAAGGGCACAGGCTGCCATTCCTGTGATTGAGTATTTTAATACAATCTAACAACAATGAAATAAAGCACAGACATTAATCTGATCAGCCCAGAACATCCTCACCCCAAGAGAGAGGGAGCAGGGAAGAGGAGGGCAGAGCATGAGATGGTGAGTTTGGCTGTCCTCCTGGAGTAGCACAGGAAGCCACAGAAGGAAGCACCATCAACTGGAAGTTGAGTTCACACATATTAGCACAGTAAATGGAAAAGTTGAAGCACAGCTTAGTGCACTCACCACATCTAATGGTACAATCATCTGTGAAAACAGAAAAATGATTGAGAGCTGCAGAATATTCCTCAGCCAATTATCTGCAATTGCTGGGTACTTCTGAGTAACTATTAGCGTGCCTGAGCAGACCACCCTCTCCATGCACAGGCAGAAGGCTTTTGTTCACTTGAGAAGCCAGCCATCCTCGGGGCCCTTTTGGCATGGCACAAATACTAATGTTTTAAAAATTCAACAGAAGCAGCAATATGCTGCCACCAGCTTCCTCACCCTGTGTTCTTGCTTTGCTTTGTTCCAATTTTACACAGCTCTCTTGGTGCTTGCATGGGTGTTTCCCCATATTTTTGGGTGTTACTTTATATTCTTTACTGCGAGGGTGGCATGCCCCATCCCTGGAAGTGTTCAAGGCCAGTCTGGGTGCACCTCTGAGCAACCTGCTCTAGGAAAGGTGTCCCTGCCCATGGGATACGAGGTGATCTTTAAGTCCCTTCCAAGCCAACCCCTTCTGTGATTTTATGACCAAACAAGGGGTGTCAAAGGAAGGTGGCCCCTACATTCATGCCAGCCCTGGGACTGCAGCACAGCCCTACCCCAGGGGCTGCTCCCCTACCAGCCCAGCAGCACAGACACCCTCACGTTTAAAAAGGCAGAGCCTTCCAAGGGCAAAAGCTTCCAGATGGCCGAGCCTTGCTGTCTGGAAAGGCACCGAGGGACTGGAGAGCTGTGAAGAGCAGCTAAAGCGCACACGCGGCCTACAATGGCGCTGCGGACAAAAGTTAATTAAAGTTTGATCGGCCTCTTTGTGGCTCAAACGAGAGAGAGTCTGCGAGCAGTCACGGCAGGCTTTAAGGCAGCAAAGGCCATTTCCAGGTAGCCAGGAGTGTAACCAGGGAAAGGGAGCACATCCAGCACCGGGATAAACACGTGGAGCCGGCACCTGCCAGAGAGAGGGATGAGAGGGAAAGGAGCAAAAAAGGAACCCCCGTTCCCTAGGCAGCTGCTAACAGCACCTGCCAGCTTAGGCCCAAATCCAGGCCTCGGTCAAACCGATGCTCATAAACTCAGGGAATTACATGGAAACCGAATTAATTTCCTCGGCTGAGGTTCCAGCAATTTGTTTAAAGGAAGTGGAGATAAAGCCACGATGTTTATAGGGTAGGAGGGAAGGTGGCGGGGTCAAAATTATTCTAGGCTAGATATCCATGCCTTAATCCTTCTTTCCAGCTTTCAGACCCTTAGAAAGAAAACATTTTTATAGGATTTACATTTACATGATGATTACAAATAACCATCTGTCTGCTTCCACTTTTTCAATCTGGTCCATGTCCCACGAGCCCCCAGCCTGTGGTCAGAGCAGCTAAGCTGGAAGGAAGAAGTGGATGCCCGTCAGGAGGCTTTGGGATAATTGCATTCTTCTCCCACCAGCACTTGTCTCTCTACCTCCTCCCCCTCTGTGTGCATGGTGAACATCTGAAATTACCGGGGACAGGAGGGAGGGAAAGAGCATCTCTGTTGCCTTTTTCAATGAATTATAATGTCTTAAAACATAGCTACATCTGTTGTGCTGACTAGAGGGTATAAAGAGATATCAAGTAAATATTAATGTATTTCTGTAACTTGGGTCCCAGAGCAGTTCATCTTCCCCCTCCTGTTCTGTTTTGTGCTTATCTCAGGATAATATTATTCCCATATGAAGATTTTACACAGCCACATCAGTGGTGGTTTGGTCACCTGCCACACCACAGGTAGGTCTCCCCTGATCCAAGGTACTTCCCCACAGGCATTTTCCTAAATCCTTTTCTCTCTGCCACCGCTTTGGCACCTCCCTCCTCTGATACATACTGATGTGAACAATCGACATAAGTTACTAAGTCAAATAACTGCCCAGATGCCATGCAGCGGACAGATTAAAGGATTATTATACTTTAGGTAGCATATGGTGCAGGGAGGTATTTTAGATCTTGACTAATGTGTATGAATTGCTGAAATGGTCCCTGAGCAAGCCAGCACTACCTGCTGAAACAGGGTGACAGAAAAAAAACCCAAGGGCTCACAGACAACTTCCCTTGTGAAGAAGAATATGCTTTGTTTGAAGAGCTGCTGCCTGACCTCTTTGTTTCAGCAACTGTGTCTGCCTCAATTTGTAAGGAAAGTAGTAACAAAAACACACAACCTTGGCAATAATCCTAGGCAAGACTCTCAGGGAGTTCTTGAG